TCCCCTTTTTAAAAAACAATATCCTTCCCCACTTAATTACAAACATAATGCTTAAGAGATCATAACAGTAAATGTTTTCAAATGGTATGCAATTCACCATACTACCTATGTCAACTAAACTGACTTAAAATATTTAAAAATAGTTAACTTAGACAAAACTCTATCCTGATACTAATAGAAATGTTATCCTTTCTATCCAAATTTATCCATAAGGAATGTTTCATCAGTATTATCTCTAAATAATTATCTTTAAATAGAACAATGCATAGACTAATCTTGCAAACAGCCAAAAGACACATTTATAGAGGCTGTTAACATTTCAAGCCTGCATTGGTGCAAACAGTGCTCTACATATAGTAATACTAATAAAAAATAAAAGTATAACTAGCAACAAGTCTTCATTCTTATGAAGTGGCGTGCTAGGAGACTTGGGAAACTCACTTAGAGAAGGGAAATAATGATAGCGAGTATTTCATCCCCTTTGCCTGACATACTTTAAAATCTAGGGCTAGGCATTACAGAAAGAAACCTGCTGCCCCCAGCATTCCTCTGAATATGGGGGAGGGAGGAAGCAATGACTAGGGAGTGTCAAGGACTTTTAATTCTGCTATTACTCTGCTCTAACTAGTGTGACTCCTATGTACCTCTTTCCTGTGCTTCAGTATTTCATAGATAAAGAATATCCTTTCCAAGTAACAGGGACCCACACACATTTAATCTGTTGTACTTTATCTTCTTCATAATTTTGACATTTTCTCAATGCTAATTTGAAAAAGGGGCTATTGGAAGGTGAGGATAGGTTTCGGTTTTTTTGGAAGACAAACTCTCGTTTTGTCACCCAGACCGAAATGCAGCGGTTGATCACATGGTTCACTGTAGCCTTGACCTCCCAGGCTCAATCCTCCTGCCTCAGCTGGCAGTAGTAGCTGGGATCACAGGTGTGTACCACCACACCTGGCTAATTTTTTTTTTTTTTTTTTTTGGTAGAGATTGGGTCTCCCTATGTTGCCCTGGCTGGTCTTTAACTCCTGGGCTCAAGTGATCCTCCTGCCTCAGCCTCCCACAGTGCTGCTACCACATCTGGTCTATAACATAGGTTTTGAAGTCAGGCTGGGTTTGAATTTCACCTCTGCTATTAGCTAAGTGGCTTTCACAAGTTATTTAATCTGTCTGCACTTCAGTGTTTGCCATCCATAATATGGGAATAATGCCATCACCTTTGCTGTGTTGTTGTGATAATTAACCAGTACATCATGTGCCTAGCATATATGTGCTAAAAAAGTACTAGTCCTTAAAATGATGCTCGATGAATCTGGGACATAATGGTAACCAGACCCTGCTAAGATATATATGTATGTGAGTATAAGAATAGTTTCCAGCTAAATAAAGTAAATAACATGGTAGAAGTGATGCTCTCACCATTGCATTTTTCTTTGCCGCTTGTCTTTTTAATCTTCTTCCTTCCCGTCGACTGTCTTTCTTTAAAGCAACTGCAATTTCTTCCCTTACTTCCTCACTGTCTGTTGCTACAATTTGCCCATTGTGAACCATCTGTGAATTCTGTCTTAGGTATTCCATGAATCCATTCACATCTTCATTTAAGTACTCCTTTTTCTTTTTCTTTTTATGTTTTGCTTGGGGTGCATCATTTTTTAGGGATAGCCTATTGGCTTCAAGTTGTTTATGCTTTGGTAGGTTTTGGCTTGTTCCCTCAAAGGATCCCTTCTTCATGTCCTCCCATGATGTTGCAGGCAAGGGTCTCTTGTTACATGTGGTACTAACTCGGGCCCACCTGGTCATAATTTCATCAGAGGTACCTTATCAATTTTTAAGACAAGCATGGGTGGTTAGTCATCAACAACAAAAACAGCAAAACTAAAGAGACATGCTATATCACTATATCTCACATATGCCCATATGTTAAACTTTTAATTACTAAAACACTTTTTACTTCAGTTAGATATCTATATACATATTTAATGGTATAATATGCTGCATAGACATGCTTCTAATATAAATCTACCACTTACCAGAAAAGCTGCCACACCAGTTAAAAAAGTTGTGCTTAAAATTGAAAAATTAAGAAATCAAATTATTTCATAAAATATAAATCAGATAGTAATACAATGAATGCAATTATTCCTTCCACATTCTGCAGTTTTCCTGTTTATTTTCCTCAAGTCCCACAGCTACTTTCTCCCAATCATCTTGCTTAGTCTGCCATTTCAATGCAACAGTTTGCATAGCAAATTACTAAGTATACAGAAATTATGTCCTTTAATATGAAGTTTGTTGAAATTTCCTGACAGTGTTATAAGTAAAACATAGAAAAGTATTTACTATCACAGGATGATCCCAGGCTTCCTCTCTTACTAATCAATGTATAAGCAACTTCCAGCCCAGTGATTTCACATCATCTTCGATTCTATTTAAATTATGATTTGAATCATAAGATACGTTTCACACCAAAATCTGTATCTTGCTTTTATACTCTTAATAACTATACTTTAATGTTCAGAAATACTTTTCATTTTAGAGCATATACATACTTTAAAGAAGTAATTTATCCTAACACTAATTATTTGGCTCCAACATAAAACGGAACAAAGTTTTGGTCACTCACATCCTAGTAATTTGGAGGATATTTTTTTTCCTGCAATGAATGAGAACATTCAGCCATAACCAAAGATTCATCAGCTACAGTCACATAGTACATAACATTTAGGTCAATAGTGACTGCACATATGATACTGGTCTCAGATGATTATAATGCAGCTGAAAAATTCCTATTGACTTTGTAGCCCTCATAACTTGTAGTCTAACACATTACTCATGTCTGTGGTAATGCTGGTGTAAACAAACCTACTGGGCTGCCAGTCATATACAAGCATAGTGCTTACAATGATGTACTGTACATAATACTAGATAATTGTAAGTATTCCAGAAAAAGGTAGTTATCACAGGAATGGACAGCTCCATTCATGTTACTGTCCCTGAAAACCTTTCAGTAGGATAAGATGTGGAGGAAGAAAAGAGTGATACTGATGATCCTGACCCGGTGTAGGCATAATGTGTGTGTCTCAGTTTATAATAACAAAATTTTAACAGGAAAAAGCTATAGAATACTGTAAGGGAATAAAGAAAACATTTTTGTATAGCTATACAACATATTAGCGTTTTAAGCTAACTGTTATTACAAAAGAGTGGGCTGGGTGCGGTGGCTCACGCCTGTAATCCCAGCACTTTGGGAGGCCAAGAAGGGCGGATCACGAGGTCAGGAGATCGAGACTATCCTGGCACACGTGGTGAAACCCCATCTCTACTAAAAATACAAAAATTAGCTGGGTGTGGTGGCGCGCGCTTGTAGACCCGGCTACAGGAGCGCGCCACCTGGGAGGCTGAGGCAGGAGAATCGCTTGAACCCGGGAGGCGGAGGTTGCAGTGAGCTGAGATTGCACCACTGCACTCCAGCCTGGGTGACAAGAGCAAAACTGTCTCAAAAAAGAGAGGGAGAGAGAGAATAGACTCCGTCTCAAAAAAAAAAAAAAAAAAAAAAAAAAAGGGTCAAGAAGTTAAAACTAATTTAAAAGTTTATAAAGTTAAAGCACAGTAAGCTAAGGTTATTACTTTAAACATTTTTAAATAAACTTAGACTAAGCATACAGCATTTATAAAGTCTACAGTAGTGTACTGTAATACCCTAAATAATATCCTAGGCCTTCACACTCACATACCACTCACTGACTCACTCATAGCTACCGACAGCCCTGCAAGCTCCATGCGTTAAGTGCCCTATTCAGGTGTGCCATGCTTTCTTTTGTACCATAGTTTTACAGTATCTTTTCTACGTTTAGACACACACTTACCACGCTTTTAGAACTGCCTACAGTACTCAGTAGTCATACTGTACAGGCTGCAGTCTAGGAGCAACAGGTTATCTCATATGGCCCAGGTGTGTAGGTTTGTTGTATAAGTACACTATGATATTCACCCAACCACGAAACGGCCCAACCATTTCTCAGAACTATACCAGTTGTTAAGGGAAGCATGGCTGTATTAAGCCACCAGCTTTGTTGCTGTTGTCGCTGTTGAGAGGAGTCTCACTCTGTAGCCCAACCTGGAGTGCAGTGGGCCATCTCGGCTCACTGCAACCTCTGCCTCCAGGGCTCAAGCGACTGTCGTGCCTCAGCCTCCGGAATAGCTGCGACTACAGGCGTGTGCCACTACGACCAGCTAATTTTTTGTATTTCAGTAGAGAAGGGGTTTCACCATGTTGCCCAGGGTGGTCTCGAACTCCTGACCTCAGGAGATCCGCCCGCCTCGACCTCCCAAAGTGTTGGGATTACAGGCGTGAGCCACGGCGCCCGACCTAAGCCATCAGCTTTTAAGACCAGCATCCCTCGCAATCCCCCAAGTCTCAGCATCTGGTAACAGAAAGATCCCTTCCACAGAAGCTGAAGGGTGGACCCAATGAATTGGTGTGAGAGGCTCCATGCCACTTCACGAGCGCACTCTTCGCTGAAGTTTATGCGACTGTCCCAGTGGGGACCGAAGCTGTCCAAAACGAAGTGGATTATCCTTCCCCTGCGTAACTGGGAAGGGGGAGGCTCTGGGTTATCAAGAGCATGAAGTAGGAGAGCCGGGCGGCCCACTGGCATGAGGATCCCAGAGCGGCTGGACGCGCAGCCCCCAGCAGCCGGAGCCCAACAGCTGAGGCCGACACCCCTACATAGCCCGAGCAGCCCGCGCTCAGCCAGCTCAGGGACCCAGCGGCTAGGCCTTCTGTCCTCCCAGCTTCCCATACAAGTTCCGCCAGGCCAGCGGGAACAAACACCACCCTGCAGTTTTCATGGCTGAGAACCTCACCTCACTGCGCTGCGGCGCAGCTTCTTAGCGCGAACGAATCGCCCAGAGCAGTCGAGTTAGCGAGCCAGGGAAGACCGCCCTCCTGCGGCATTGGAGACCGGAAGCACATAGTGCCCGAGAGCGCGTCACTTCCGGCATCCCAGGCGGTCTGTACGAGCGGCTCATGGGCGTTAAGATTGAGCTGAGTTTGCGGCGCGCTTAGCGTTCAGTCCGTGCTGTCTGAACTCATTGTAGTAGGCGAGATAGACGGGAGGATCGGTAGGGTGGGAGATGCTGGAGAGGCTTCCGTGAGACTGGATAAGAAAACAAAAATCTGGTGAAATTGGCGGCAAGGAGGGAGTTAAGGACATTCCAGGCAGAGGCAAGGTAAAGGCGCGGTGGGAGTGGGTCACTGTGATAAAAGTCTGAAAAGGACATTTTGGGGCTGTCTTGGGTGAGAGGCACTGCCTCATGTCCCCTCTTCAGTGCTCGTTGAGCATTAAAATGTTAACACTTGGTAGCCAAACAAGTTTTCTTTTTAAGAGGAAAACCCTAGAATCCTAAACGGCTCATTTTCTTTAGCGTGTTTCCAAATGCATACCACCACCAGCTGTGCCTAGTGAAAAAATGCGATTTACCAGGACCACTACTCTCAACAGTTTGCTCAATTCATTTAGCCTTTTGAATATTTGTCCACTTCTTTTATCTTTATTGGCACCTCCTGCCTCGTCCAATGTTGTACCTGTGGTTCTATAGCTGCTGTGGGGATTCATTGTGCCCCAGCTCCCTCAAATCCATTTTCCGTGCCGTAGGAACGGAACTTTTGAAAATGTAAGTCGTATTACTGCTGTACTGCTTTAAACTCTGCCATCGCTTCCCATGGTTTTTAGGATGAAATTCAAACTCCTTGTGAAGTCCCTGCCACTTCCCTAGCCTCACCTTGCACAATCTCTCCTTTGAGCACCGTGCATAGGATCTTTCTTCAATTTCTCAAATGCCGTGTGTACCTTGTCTCCAGGCCTTTACATTTGCTGTTCTCTTTGTATAGTACTCCTTTTCCTCTTCCAGTTACTTTCTACTCACCCTTAAAGGCTTTAAATATTTTATTCTCAAGAAAGCCTTCCAACGCCCTACTACCCCCTTACAGGACCAATCCCCTACTGTGTGCTCATGGCAGTCTATGCTTTCTTATGACACTTTTCACATTTGTAATTACATAATAATTGTGTAAATTTATTGTATCCTCATTGCCTGGTACGTCGTTGGTGCTCGCTTCGTATTTGTTTTCTTGTTTTGTTTTTTGCAAAGGAGTTTGGCTCTTGTCGCCCAGGCTGGAGTGCAATGGCGATCTCAGCTCACTGCAACCTCTGCCTCCCGGGTTCAAGCGATTCTCCTGCCTCAGCCTCCCAAGTAGCTGAGATTACAGGTGCTCGCCGCCACGCCCGGCTAGTTTTTGTATTTTTAGTAGAGACGGGGTATCGCCATGCTGGCCAGGTTGGCCTCAAACTCCTGATCTCAGGTGATCCGCCCGCCTTGGCCTCCCAAAGTACTGGGATTACAGGCGTGAGCCACTGCGCCTGGCCCTCGTATTTATTAAGTAAATGAAGAATAAGTACTTTGCGATGTTTGTTTAAAGCAAGCTAGAAAGTGGCCCAGTTTTCTTTAAGAGAAGGGATTTTAAAGTCAGTGCTGTAGGAATGTTGAGATTTGGTATGGTACATACCACAAATATCCTAGGTCATATGGTGGAGAAAGTTTTCAAAGACAGCAAACAACAGCACCTTCCAGCTCTTGAAGATAGGGAACTTCCTAGAAGATATGTGGTAGTGCTTCCCATACTGTAATGATCTCAACCAGCTGGCTTCAGAGTAGTGACATTTCATGAAGAGGTTTTATCTTTTGTAGATGCCAGGTACTTGCACAAAACATACCACTAGAGGGCGCATTTAACTAAAATTTTCTTTTTATTGGTATATTGCATTTTAAACTGTAGGTCGTTCATTCTTGAAAGTAAAGGAGCATTCCGATTTCTTTTTGTAGCGGTATGTCCAATAAAGATTAGTAGTTGAGTAAATAGGGCATAGAATAAGTTCTTTGGAATTCGGAGGAAACTATTGCTACTAATAGCTAACTTTACTGAACATTTTATAGGTGCCTGCAGTATGCTTACTAGTGTGCATTCATTACCTAATTAGTCCACTCAGTATCCTGTGAGGTTGGTGCTATTATTTTCTCCATTTTGCAATGAGGGAAGAAGTTCACAGAGCTGACCTAACTTATCCAAGCTCACACAGCTAATAAGAGGTAGAGCCAGGATTTGAACCAAGATCTCAGTCTAAACCTGTGTGCTCTGCTAATTTGAAATACTGCAGAGGATTATTTGTCTACTTGATCCACTTTAAAACACTTTACTAAGTTATCCTGACCCATGTTCGATTTTTTTTTTTAGAAAATATTTTACAGTTCAAGGGATTATGTTTGTATTCAATTTTCCCATCTTATTGAAATACTGTAAATGTATTTTTTATAACAATATTATCAGCAAGGTAAGTGTTAAATGAGGAATTCTGGTCTTCTTCCCAATTTTCCTACTGCTGTTTCTTTTCCAGTCCTCCAATTGCTGATCTATGTATTATGTTTTATAGCTTCATTCACTGGGAGAGACAGTGGAGTGTACTTATTCCATATTACCAGGAATTGGAACCACTACCATTAGAATTTTAAATCTTCATTCTTGCCCAGATTCTGTCTGGATAATAGGCACTTGGCCAGCCTAGATGAAGTGACCAGTAGGCCATGAGGACTAGAAGTGTCCAAGGCCCAATCTGGGTGGGCCATCCCTCTAGCTGACTCACATACTAGAGTGAACAGCCTCCAGGCAGTCAATTTACCTATAGAGCAATTTGGAATGGAGAACAGTGAGTCTGGAAAGGAAGGCTGGGATGAGATTTTGCCAAATTAAAGTGTTTTTAAATGTGAAATGACAGTGTTCAAACTTCATCCCTTAGAGCTTAAGCAATGAAGAACTGTGGATAAGGTTTTAGATCATACAGGAGATCCCATAAAATAGATCTGGAAAAGAGGGTTGTGTACGGAAAACTGTACCTAATGCATTCTCTGGGCAGTTATTGAATTGTTTATAGTATGCAGAAAAATCAGAAGAGAGGGGGAAAAAATTAATGACCCTGCTGTTGGAAATAAAAATAAGATCCAGACCAGTGACATTCTGACATCTTAAAAACCTGTCAGTGATATTTTTAACTGCTTTAGGATCCTTACAATCAGGCTCATGAGTAATAGAACTGTGAGGGCTTTTTTCTTTATACATAATTTTACAGATGTTGTTTAATGGGTGTGTATTACATTTAGAATCATTATTAAAGAGTTATTTTTAATCCATGGAGGTTTTGACACAGCACATGAGAATTTCTAATTATAGATTCATAGAAATACGTACCTTTTAAAACCCTATCTTCTTGTTTTACAGATCAATAAATTCAGTTTCAGAGAAGTTAAGTGATTGCCATAGAACACAATGCTAGTGACTGAATTTTGTTAACTAACTTGCACATAGAAATGGCTCTGTGCTTTCATTTGCATTGTTGGTTTTCTCGGTAACAAAGTTATGAGCAATACTGCTTTATTTCAGAAGTGAAAGAAAAACTATTGGAAGTGTGGAGCAGGAGAAACCTATTAGTGGAAGTTGCTTGAGGTTCCTAGGCAGTAAGGAATAGGAACAATATAAAGTTTGTGTTGTCCTCTGAAAAAACTTGAATCTCTTTCATATTCTTTTCTTAAACATGGCAAAGAATAACATTGGAACAGTAATCACAGAAATGATGTATCCTTCTGACTCATCTTACCGTCTTCTGTTGTATTTCTCAAATTTGAGTTCCTAATCATGTGTTTCAGTGGTTAGGATGTTAAGTGCTTCAAATGAATACTTAAATCTAAATTACAAACAAGTGGCAAGATTTGCAAGTTCTCCTTTATTCTCTGAAATGAGTACTTCTTCCTCCTCGTGTCTGAGGAAGTCATACCAGATATGGGCCTTAGACTGTCCATTCCAAGGAACAATGAGAGGTGGTATAGTTACAAATGGAATTCTGTAAAATAGGATAGGTGAGGAAAAAGCCCTTTTTGATATCTACTATGTGCCAGTACCTTAAGTGCTAGATATATGCAAATGACAGAGAGGTCCCTGCCCTTAAGCAGCCAAGAGCCTCTGAGAGTAAGACAGATTAAAACCACTAATAAACTGATGTTATAAATAGTGAGGGAATTATGGTGGTGTACAGATTACAGATAAAATAATTCTTCCTGGGAAGAATCTAAAACTTCCTGGGAAGTTTTAGAAAAACTTCACAGTAGGATGTGTTGCAGACAACTGGAGAGAGGGATCATGGAGGTAATGAGGAGGAGTCAATAAAAAATAAATACGTATACTCAATCTAAAATCCTCTCCAATAAGCTGAAATGCTTTTGCAGATAAGACTGACACACACTGACATACACACAAAAAAGAGATAAAAATTTATGCTAGTACTTTATAAAAGGTCAAAGTGAACATAGTATTTCATACCGATTTAGTAACTACTATATAAAATAATCTACCAGTAATTCTGGGTAAAAACAGTACAGTAATTAATGATTTCAGATGAACTAATTTAAGAGGACCACATACAAGGAAAAACACAACCTGCCCAAAACTATGGCATAGCAAATAAATGATCTTAGGAAACGAGGTCCCACAAATATTTAAGAAACATTTATGGACGAAGAAAATGTAGAAAGTCATATTTGTATATATTCCGGAAGATGTGAGAGTCCAATGGTGAGCTGTATGAAGATAAATTGGACACAGTTCATACTCCCAGAGGAATCTCTGGGACAAACAGGGCCAGGTGTGGTGGCTCACTCCTTTAATCCCAGCACTTTGGGAGGACGAGGTGGGTGGATCACCTGAGGTCAGGAGTTCAAGACCAGCCTGACCAACATGGTGAAACCTCGTCTCTAGTAAAAATCCAAAGAAAAAAAAAATTAGCCAGGCATGGTGGTGGGCACCTGTAATCCCAGCTACCCAGGAGGCTGAGGCAGGAGAATCGCTTGAATCTGGGAGGCAGAGGTTGCAGTGAGCTGAGATTGCTCTGTTGCACTCTAGCCTGGGTGACAAGACTGAAACTCTGTCTCAAAAAAAAAGAAAAAGAAAAACAGATTTTAAATTCCTCAAGGAGCAAATGAAGGAGTGGACTTCTGCCCAGGGCAGCTTAATATGGAAGTCACCAGCAAGTTTTCAAATAGGAAGATTAGCTACACTGGGTCTGTGTGGCTTTTAGATCTCTAAACAGTGTGTCTTGGAGAAGGACAGCAAACCAGATAGAAGGGCT